GCTAAAGTAACACTAGTAGAGGATGCTGGAGCTGAAATATAATATACTAATACACAAAGGATTCAAAAGGCTACTCATTTGTTTGTATTTGGAGTTTAGATTGTTTGTCACAAAATACACTGTCAACAGCACATTCCTCCATGTCCTCACTGGTGGTGTTTAGTGTTGCTACACAAGTTTTCTCTGAATACACAAAAGGATGAAAGCAAAATAAATTCACCCGAAACAAGACCTCCCCAGTGTTTAGTAATTGCAACTTTTTGGCCTTCATTTAATAAACCACTAATAATGTCAGCTGAGATTCTGCCCGTGATTTATGTTTATAATGATTATTTGCTGTTTGTGTGTCTGTTACACAATATCCATCCACATCAGCAGTGCGCGAGAGGGTGTGATGATTTATTTGTTGAATCATGCTTTGGCACATTAAGCGTCCCCTGATGATTAATCTAAATCTGCGTCTCCGTTTTCAGATTGGGCCGGGATCGTTCCAGAGCCCGTCGCCCAGGCAACAGAGCACTCATCTGGAGCCAATCAGAACCCTCCTAAGCCAGCAGTGAAAGGTAGGAGTGGGACAAATGAGTAAAACATATGAAAAGACTTGAAAGAAAAAAAAAAGCCTAACTCATTCAAAGAGACGTGTCCAACTCAAGCCTGTGTTTATGGGTATTTTCAGAGAACTTGTGGGTTGTTTCCATTCATAATTTTGGATCTCAACCAGTTACTTTATAGAACAAACGGAGGTCTTTATATTTTTTTACCACAACTTTAAATGTCCGGCAGTGTGTCTGAGTGACATTTATCCTCATTTTACAGAGACAGCAGGGACGTCCAAAGATCTCTCCGCGTGGTTCAACCTGTTTGCTGACTTGGACCCACTCTCCAATCCCGACGCGGTCGGCAAAACTGACACAGAGCACGAACTTCACAATGCATAGTTGTTTCTCAGAGTCATGGTGATCTGAAAGGGGGTACTTTTGTTAGTGGGCAGAGCAGAATAAAGCTGCCACAGAGACCAGAGACAAATCTGATCAACCACACAAACAGCTGTCTTCTCTTTAGACTTCAAGTAGATATAGAGCTGAAAAAAATCTTCAGTTTATCAGCAGAACATTGATCAGTTATTTCTAGTTGTGGACGAAGTTAAAGTATTTATACCACATTGTAAAAATACTCTACAAGTGAAGTATAAGCATACAAATATACTTAAAGTACCAAACTTAAAAACACTCTGGCCATTTTCAGAAGTAGCTTGTTTTATCTTAATCTACAATAATAATGTATTTGCTGATTGTTTTTTATTAATCTGAATCTGCAAATTAACTAACTAAAGTTATCAAATAAATTTAAGTAAATGGAGTAAAAAGTACAATATTTGCCTCTGTATTGTAGTGTAGTTGAAAATTGAAACACTATAGTATCTCAAAACTGTACTTAAGTGAAGTACTGGAGTAAATGTACTTAGTTACTCTCCACCACTGATTATTTCAGGAAAAAAAATATTTGCTGGTTCCAGTTTTTCAAATATGAAGATTTTCTGTTTTCCTTTATCGTGTATGTCAAACTGATAATCGTTGGGTTTTAGATTCATTATTTCATCTTAGATTCTAATTATAATGGGCATTTTTAAAACAGGTAATTTAAAAAAGTGACCAGCACTTTAAATAATCAATAGTTGTATAATAAGTTACCTTATTATAATGACACTGTACAAGGATAAGACATATTGTTGTAAAGCTCTGAAATGTCTGTGTAACAGTAAAGGGCAGGTACATTTTAAAAAATAAAATTAAAGCATCTTAAATAATTTATCATTATTATTACAATATTGAGAGAAATATCTCGTTCTAACAAGAGAAATGTCGGTGTTATTACAAGACACTGATTGTGATCATCTGACGGTGGCAGTATTACTCTGCTGTAACTGTCCCACTAACAACTACCAGCTCTCAGCCTTTCCATTGTCAAAGAACCAAAACATTTCCAAGAGGACCTTTTTAAGAAGCCTGTTGGCTATTTATATATTTGATGTTTAGCAAGGATACCTCAGTACGAGTTTGGAACAAGAAGCCTTCGACATTCGCTGCCTTGGAAATCTGTAGTCTCTAGTAGCATTCATGCTTTATTTCTGATCCTCATTACTGAAGATTGCAAACAGGCAAAGAAAGAGTTTGTGAGATACAACAACGGAGAGAAAGCAAACACGACAAAGATCACAGTGCAATAGTTCATGTGTTTACAAAATAACGTAACATGTTGAAATTAACGCAGTCACAGAGAAACATTCAGAAATAAACTGAAGTATGTTTTTCAGGTTAACCGATCAGAATTACTAAAGATGTTTCTTTCTTCAAACAGCAAAGAGGTTTCCTTTTGAATGTTTGTGCTTTTAAATTTGTTTGCCACATGCTGTGTTTGTGATCCCATTTTAAATATATTCCAGAACTAAAACTAAACACATCACCCCACTTATTATTTATTGCATGTCGCATGCCTTGTTTTCTGTCATCCAGTAAGTGTTTGATTGAATGGACAATATGTTTCTATTGACATGAGATTTTTGATCAGTATATTTTGTGTCATTTGGACACATGTATTCAGCTCAGTTATTGGCTCTCACTGGGAATATATGCAGTTTACAGTTTATTGTTTTCAGAACCAAACTAACTCTAAAGTTTGATAATCATGAAAATAGTCATATTATATTGAGTTTGACTACAATGCTGCAAAAATGAAAATATATCAGAGTAAAGGCCTTAATCTAATCACAAGTCAACAATATAGAACCTCATCATGGATATTATTGGATTCTTCATACAGTATACTACAATTGATTGTGAATTTCTTTTGTTGTAACTTAGCCTCGTGCCATTTTTGATGTTCAAGCCATGTGACATGTTAATATTTAATCATAACAAAATACATTGATTGCCTTACCTTGACTCCTATTTGTATATAAATGCCATGCTTCTGAATACTGAGATTTGTTGATGTGTCTGCCTTTGAAAAGATTACATAACAATCCAAAAATCAGGTTTTCTGTTTTCTTTATTGAAAAAAAAAACACACACAAGATCTACATAAAAATGCGTAATACACAGGAGAACTGAATCATCATTGCCAAACATGGCAACCACTTCTTAACTGCACTGCACAATGAGCTTGTGAATAAAATCAGAATTAGTATGATTGAAACTCTTGGAGCTGCAAGCAGAAGAGAGTATTTCAACTTAGTTTGTGTGGAATGTGTTGCATATTGTTCATATTTGTGTTTCTGTGTGCAAGTGGGTTCAAAGACCAAAGTTTTGGAATGAAACATTTATAACTACTTTACTAAATCTGCCACTTTTTTTTCTCTTTTTATTATTTTTTAAAATGTTCTGGGGATGCAACTTGTGCAGGTAACATTAGGGCACATCTGGTTGGATCTGTATATTGAGCCAAACTGTGTTACACAAAAACTGTTAGTGTAGCTTTACTTCAAACAAAAATCAATTGCACACTTACGTTCTGATTGTTTTAACTTACAAATTGGTCTAAAATGAAAAAATAGTGATTATCATCTCACTTCCAACTAAGTGCTTCAGCTTGGTTTTAACGATTATCGCCTGTGTTTGAAACACTACGAACCAGTGTTTGTGTGCTCAACTGTTTATAAACAAAACAAAGTGCATATAAACATCAGCTTCTGGCACACACACACACGGTGCCTCTCCTGGGCCTAATACACCACAGGCCTTTCATTGTGTTATCATTTGCTTTGGTACATATTTAACAAAGGGCATGAAACAAAATAACTTATTTGTCAACTTCTCAATTTGGGAGGGTGTAGCTTATGTAGCTATTTGCATTGACACGAGTACTCACGGTTGACCAATGCGACAGCGATCTCTGGAATGTGTCATAGCACCTGAAACTCTAACCTCAACAGGTTAATGTCATCTGTCACAAGCTGTGACTTCAATGAGTTGATTCAGTCCTTTAATAGAACTCCCCCTCTGGAGAAAATAAAACATTCTGCAAAAGACTGGAATGTCTTTCTGTAGAATAAAGTCATAAACACTGGGGAAAGGCAACATAGTCCAAGCAAGTACATTCCACATGACCTGAGATACTGTTCTGTGTAGTGTGGGGCAATAAAACGGGGCGGGGGGGTTTGGGGGTTGTGTGCTTTGTGATGGGTTGTTTGGTCACCGAAAAACAGCTGATTTACATTTTGTGTTGAGCTTACCAAGTTTTAATAGTGATCAGACTAGAAATGCAGATGTAGGTCTTGGCCTGTAAGCCTTTTGGGTGGAGGCTGCACTCTAGCAACTGCTGGTTTCACATAGACACCGAGTTACAAATACTTTAAAATAAACAAATAATAAAATAAACAAAAGAATTAGGCCATGGCCTGTGTCGCTCTGAGCCAGGTCTTAACAAGTGCAAACAGTGTGGTCAATGTGGGGCAATGTGTTCTGACTGTAAGACATCCTGATATGTTAAAAATATGAATCAAGCATTTCCCATTCTGTCAAAAAAAGCTTATGTATATGTACTTTAGATGTTAGCTTGCTGAACACTGAACAGCTAATAAGCTGGTTAGATAACATGAGCAGAATGTGTTTCTGATACCTCATGGTTGTCTCTTTGTTTACCATTGTTCCTTTTTAATTTATCTTGATAAAACTGCAGGCACTACGTAACACAATAACTGGAGCAGTAATTTCTATTTTTTTTTTTTTTTTCGTTTTTGCAAAAAGAAAGCAAAGCTATTTTTTGTTTATGGGTGTCGTCATGGTACAGAGGAGAAGGCTAGGTTAGTGATGGGTGAAGGGAGGCGGTGTCCAAGGTCAGCACACTCTTAAGTCTGGGCGATAATAGTCAAACCATCAAGTTCCTCAACAGCGGCACAAACACTGCTTGTTCAGCAGGATGCTGGTGCCATTATCTTCCCATGTGTGTTGTCGATTTCAGACCTTGGACACTCCCTGCTGGCTAACGTTAGGATTAACGGAGTGCAAGGATTTTTTTTGTTGTTTTTCAAATTTTCTTTGCTTTAAAACCTTACCACCTGACGAGCTGAATTTTATTTCAGCTGTAGGTGGTTTGGTCGTGAATACCTGAGGACTAGCTGGTGAGGAGAACTTGTGCTGAGCCGTCTTTCCCCACGTCTGCGTCGGGGCTCTGGCTGTCTGTGTTTGTGCCTGTGCTTGTGTCGGCGCTCCGGTCAGAGGCCGGAAAGGTAGCTAGTGGTGCAGTGGGCAGAGTTGGAGTCACCTGAGGCCCTGGGATGTCGTTGCCATGGAGACCAGGGTTGGCGGAGGAGCAGGACGAGGGAGAGACGGGGGAGAAGAGGGAGGAGCAGAGGAGTTTTACAGGGCAGAAGGCAGAGCCCCTGGGAATGAAATTCACCTTATTTTTGTCCGGGCACGAGAAGAGGGGGAAGCCTTTGGATTTGCCAGACCTGAAAGACAAAAGAAGTTGAGCTCAGTATTTTTATTTTCCATTTCCATGACGATGATGATTAAATGCAAGATGTTTATCCTACACAGCCATTTCGCCCTCATCCCTGCCACCCACAATGCAAATAAGCTTGTTAGCTTTGTTGCACTATCCTAACAGGATCTCAGAGTCCATGAAACAGTACAGTAAACTCTATTGTTTTTCCGTTTAATGATGCGTACACTCAGACAGAAGTGTAATTGTGCAGCAGCGAATGTGACACTGCATTTTACAACAGATTGTAAAATGAAATAATACTTACACCATCTCCTCAAACACTTTGACCCTCTCACAGCCTTCTGGAGGTTCCCGTTTGAACATGTAGCTGTTGTTAGGTTTGGGAGAAGTGGCAAACTTGGGAAGAGGAGAACTGCACACATTGTCTGGAAATACAGAGAAAGAATATAACATTATTATAATTTATTGTCTTTGTAGACACAGGAAAAGAAAAAAAAAAAAACATATTGGTTATTGATTCTTAAGAGCTGCAATGTGCTTAAAGTAGTGTCTGATACTAAATCAATACTTTTTCAGCCCCTTCCTTTGTGGAATATAAACATCCTCTTCTACAAAACCCTTAATTTCATTCAACAAAATAACTTAAACTTTCCAAATGTTACACACAAGCTGCTGCACAAGAACTTTGCCCAAATAAAATACAATCTAAAACCTGCAAAATCATCATTTTAATCAAAAACAGTCTGATCAATACACGAGAACACTGATGCCAGATTTCAGTACCTAAAAGAAAAGGTTCAATACTCTGGGCTAGAGTTAGTGTGCACTATGTTGTCCATTCAGTGTTTCTGAAGTTAAAGAATAATCATTTTAAGATGCATGAACGCAGCAACTGACCAATAAAACACTTAAAACTCAAATAAGTCACAGCTCTGAACTCAATAAAACGTCTCAACTCTTCTATTGTGTTGTACTCCAATTTAGTATTGCACTCCAGTAATACTGTCACACTCATGTTGGACCAAAGCATGCCTACATTACCCAGAATGCAACTCAAACACGTTACAAATACTGACAGTTTGGCCAGAGATTGAGGTTTATTACGCTCGTAGCAGCTAATGAAGCCTCAGAGATGAGTGAGCAAATGTGAAAAGGAAAGTCCTCCTAGTCCTAACCAACGCTGACTCAAGTGACATCATTTGAGGCCATTTATCAGCTTTTGCACAGCTCCCTCTGCAGCCACATAAGGCTTTATACAACCTTGTACACATATCCACACTCCCCAAGCCCACTGAACAGACTTTGATGTGTACAGTCGATGGATCTTTAATGAACACTAAAACTGTCTGTCAAACAAAATAAAGGCTGACCTTTGTCGATTTCCTCTGCAGAACAGGGGCTTCCATCAGGGGAGTGGAGGTGGTCGGAGCTGCAGGGGCAGGGCAACGGGCTGGAGTCACCACTTGAAGGGGCCTGTGTGTCCGTGTCGCGTGTCTCCCCGCTGCTGCTGTAGTGATGCGGAGGGAAGGGAGCGCGGCGGCCATCTAACACATCCATGGCCTGTGAGGTCAGAGTGCGGAGGAGGTGGTGAGAAGTCATGCGTTAACGTACATGGATCCTAAAATGGCAGAGTGGCGGAGCTTTGCGTTTAGAGGAAGGTCACATTCAATCACCCGTAACTGTTGAAGCTGAACAGCTACCTGCTCACTCACTGGATGATGTCACTGTGGGTTAAGAGCATCAGCTGAAAAGGTCCTAAATCTACCAATGACTGGAACGGGAAGGCCTCTGGTGTGTTTGTCTGTCTGTTTAAAGGGCAATTGGAGAAGCAAACACCACACCAGATGGTAATACTTGACAGATGAACAGTGTGATGTGCAGAGCGATCTGTTTTGGCACAGCTGATTCAAATGGGAGAGAAGGAGGGAGAGAAGGAGGGAGAGAAGGATTGGTGCACAGCAGGCTGTAAATCTGTAGTGGTGCATGCGTTTGTGTGCATTTAAAGTCTGTGAGTGTGTTACTTTCTAAAGAGCGGAGCTTTACAGACCTGCCAGGGTTTACTACCCCACATCAGCCAGGATTTACACGGCCCCTCACCCTTAAGAGATTTAATTCAGTGAGAGTGAGAATATATGCCGTCTGACAGTATGGTGCACAATGCTGTAAGTGACTTTACAAGACTGTGCTTGTGTGCAAGTAATAAATTTCAAGCACAGCCTAAAAAGCTGCTTTGACCATAGGTACAGTATATTGATGTGTATGTGTAGGATTTCACTTCTCTACCAACAAACATTACTGCTGGAAACAAAATTGTTGACACATTCTGTCCAATGTGCAACACACAACGTCTGCGTTGGATGCATTGGAGGGACAGAGTTAACGTACAGTAACAAAGACGAGCTGATTCAAGAGCTGATGTACCTCAACTCCTGGAAAGGGTGCGGTGCTGTACGTTGTGTATACACTACAGACGGTGTATGGCTGTGGGTGTTTGGCGTGCATTATAAACCGCCTGTGGGTTGCCCTTTAGTCTGTATTTCAAAGAGATGGTCAGTCAGTTTAAGAGTGATGGCGAGCTTCAGACCTGTGTTTTGGTTTAGATGGCGATGTGCTTTTGTCTACATTTGGATCACAGATTGTGGCTTTGGCCCACATCAGCAGAATGGAAACAAATGGGAAAACTTCCCATTGTTAAGACTTGGGAGCCTTTACACAATATTCAGTAAACCAATGCCCGACACCACAAAGAGAAATAAATACTAAATTAGTCACTTTTTATTGGGTTATATTTTTGTAGAAAATGTCCATTTTCTGTATATCATTATTATCTCAAAATGCAGATTAATTGGTTACTAAGTTGCCGTGTACTTTGGGCTGCTTTTTATTTAGTCTTTAAAAATGAATCTGACATTTAACCCAACTGGGACAAAAGACAAGACTTTACTGCAATATGACAAGTGTATACACATCCTTACCTGTATGCCCTGCTCCCAGTCCTCTCTGATAAACACATTTTCTAGTTCATGGTTGATGCCCTCCACACTGCTCGGCACTCTGCATATGAGTGATTTTGGCACAGGGATTGTTGACAAGGCTGATGAAGTTCCCTTGTGCTGGAAAGACTGGACAAAAAAATAAAAGACTTATGCAAACATCTAGATAATAATAATAATAATTAAATACTCAGATACATACAACCCTTCTCATGTCACACCTACAGACATTCAGATGCAATAAATACATAATACCACATATGTGCTGGAATCTGTGCCAATAAGATCTGCTTGTGTTAGTGAACTGTCGCTGATCCAGTTCCATGAGATTTTTAATAGGTGGAGGCATTCACTTTAAATACTGGTTACTGAAGTGGGATTAAATGTCAGAGGGAACAAAAACACTGGCATGATTGTCATCTAGCACAGGATGTATAGGACACAGCATATCACTGTGAATGTTCATTTTCCCACAGTGGTTGATGTGTACTGTTGCTGGGCATCTGTTAATGAATGAACCACAAACAAGGAGAGAACAGACAGAGCATGCCCAGACACATTCCCTCTTTCCTCTCCTCTTTTCACACAACTGGTCAGAATGGGGACACATTAACTAGACCTCCTCAGCCAAATACAGTGCAGCATAAAACATCATAACCATATGATTATGATCAAATATGGCCCACGCAGAAGCCTAAAAGAACACAGCATGGTAAAAAACACACTGAAACTTTCACTTTGCATAATGCACAAAAACCACTTTGTTTATCGCTGGAAAATTAATATTAAGTTCTCTTATCTTCAGCAGCTGTGATACGGTTTGGTCACCTTCTGTTTCATTTGTATGTTTATTGCTCGGCTGCTAAGCTACCTTATCATACCACTCTGAGGGTAAAATCTTGCATCACCAAAGTCAGAGTTAGCTGATGTTTTCACCTGAAAAGAGCATGGCGGTGATTCAGTTTGGCAAGGCATGAATAACTCACCTGCGGTTGGCATGCGATGCCATGCTGCGCCTGCTGAGACAGCTGCAGTGAGCTCTGCTCCCTGTCTTTGCTCTGCCGGCTGACCTGTTTGCTGCGCTGCAGCTGCAGTCTGAGTTTAGCAATCTGCTGGAAGAAAAGTAACTTCACTTCAGCAAATGACAGCTCAAAATCAAGACATGAAGTCAACATCTGAAGTTTAACTCATCACCTTCTGGTTTCAGTCATTTCACTGATCCCACATTGAGCTGCAACCAACTTGTTTGGTGTAGAATACGTCAAACAACAACCAACAGTTTATTTACTATAATATTAGGACAAGAAGACTAGTAAAGCTAACTTTAAAAAGCAGCATGCTTGTTTGTGTGATTGTGGCCTGTGGCAGTCTGTGTACATGATCACTGAATCTTGCTGTCATGATAACGTAGACCTTCTCAGTGATCTTTTTTTGTTTGATTCATGCTGTTCTGTCTGTTATATTTAGTTTAGTGTGGTGTGGTGGTGTGGGGTTTGGAGGTCACGAGGCCTCGGGGTGGCTACTTGTGTGTTAATGTCATGTGTTCGTATGTGGAGGAATAGTTGCTACCTCGGTATCTGCTAAAGACAATAAAAAAACAAAAAGCTTAAAAAGGTTTTGGCATTTTTGGCAATTGATTAATTAAATCGACTAACCATTGCAGCTACATTTAGTTCTTAGCTGAATATTATTATTTATGTAAACTGTTCCTCCTTTTTGCAGCCGCTACAAGAACAATTACAACCTACACTTTTAAATTAAATGAATATTTGTCCATTATTATTGTTTAATCCTTTCTTCTCTAATGTTACAACAATAATATGGCAGCACTTTTCACACATATGCACCACTGTGTGCACCCACGCAGACTGGCCTGACTTGAATATTGTTGCAGGCTAGTATAGAGCATGCACATAATCACACGTGTATGTTTGGTGATGAAACAAGTTAGGTCAATGGGTGTTTCTGCATCTGGCCCAGTGTCAGCCTAAAAACAGGACACCCTTTGTGAGCCTAACAGACGCAGTTGTACTATGCAGACAAAGGTGTGGTCTTCAGTGCTGATCTTGTAATCCTGGCAACACAGTCAACAAAGAGACTTGCTTTTTTTTCCCCGAGATGTCCTCCCACACATGTAATCGCAGAGGTTAGAGAGCTCGAATGCAGTTCACTACATTCGTTGAGTGACCGCAGCAGTCAATAATGACAAGTCCAGGCAGTCCCCGATGTAATCTCAGAGGATGAGGAAGACAAGTTTTCCTCACTGTTATATGCTATTGATTGTAGAGGCCAAGGCGTGATTGTCTGCAGAATGAAACAACAGTTTTCTAGCAGGCCTAGTTGTACTGTATGGCTACACTTACACTTGAATGTGATTTACGAAACCTGATTCCAACAATCAGAGTTTATGAGATCACGTTGCTGTGAGAGTTCATAGCTGGGAAATAGTTTGTGTGCAGCTTTTTTTTGTGGCTGTATTTATTAAAATGTGTTTCTCCTTGTCTCCTTTACAACCGTTGACACTGCACTTTCATTTTCCTCTCGTCACTATTAAATTGTCAAAATGAGGAATCAAACTTCAGATCTGTCACCTGATTGTGATCGGACGAGTTTAACCATAGCCTGCAGGTAACACAAACAACTAATTAAAAGGCAAAGCCGGTTCCTTTTAAAACACACCAGTCACATCTGTGTATTAGTGAAGATGAACTTATTATGAACTTTAAAGTCACCGTTTGGCATTTTGGTCATAAAATATTATTTGTGGAATCTAGTTTGACGTGAGTGAAGTAGATTCCTCAAAGTGCTAAATTATAGTTTTCTCTGGCCAATACAAACAAAAATCCAAGACATCTGTGTGCCACTAATATTTTGTAACTGAACATCGATGGCACCCAGATGTCAGATCTTGTGCTGGAAACAGAATGCTATAAATGTCTTTTGTGTTTCAGGGGCAACTGTAAGGCTTTTAAGTAACTTGAATTACCCTGAATGAGTTCGCTCAGTGGGGCCTAAATGAGGGAACAATATGGCTGTTTCCCCCTTGAGAGGAGTTCCTGCACCGTCTCTCAAAAACAACAGGCCATAATGAGATGCGAGGGTGCAGTTGAGTGGGAAACAGAGGGGAGAAGGAGGTTAAATTTAGACTGTGGTCTGGAGAGCTACAGACCTAATAGCTCCATGTGGTCGGCTGGTTGGCCACCAAGGCCAGCAGATAGACAGGAGTGGAAACCAACCTTAAGGAGCATAATATTTAGGCTGACCTCAGACCCTGACAAATAAAACACATTTTGAGTAAATGGAATGAACCTCAAAAATGACAAAAACATGCTCTTTTGAACAGGCTGTGTGAATGTTTTAAGCGAGCCAGGCCTAGTTTAGAGTCAGACAGATTGCTGACACTGCTCCCTCTGTTGATCCACCGTCTGTGGCGTTTGTTGTCAGACGCAGCTGTGACTTGGCTGATTTCAGGGTTAAGACAGGTGAATTCAATCTACCTCTTTAAGGTGGTCTGCGCTTCCCCAGGAGGCTGACCGCTGGTGAGGATTTCCCTGTTCTGTTCCCTCATCAATCCAAAGACCTGGAGTCTGAAACACAGAAACACATAACACATACATGACACATAACCACATCTTACACAACTAGGTAGGTGTTCCAAATGTACTGTGCAACACTGCAGCCACCAAATACCTTCTGTTGCATAGACACACAAAGACGAGTATGATGTATTTCTGGGACATAAACATCCACTTGGTCTGGGTGCTAAATAGAGTACATTACATCACCCTTAAAGATTAACTAACCTGCAGTTTCTGAGATTTGTTTACAGAGATCAGATAACACAAAGGTCACAGATGTCGTCCTCGTTGACTCATAACTCCTTTATTTAACGTATCATCTGTTTGCTCATTAAAAATAGTTATAAACGATGTATGTACACAGAACCTTTCACTTACAAACACACTTTGACATACATATAATTAAATATACATGAATTTAAAGTAAACAAAAGCTTGTGCAGGAGATTTAGGGAGCTCTCAGCAAAATACACTCAAAACCTCATGAAACGGTGATAAATGATGCCCCACCTCAACGTGAAGTCCCTCAGGATGCGAGTGTTAATTAAATATCTAAGATGTAAAATGTTTGGATTAAACGGTTGAGAAAGATGTGGGTGAACGCAGTAATGACTGCAGCGTGCTCCAAAGTAAAGCAGAAAATCTGGAATCAATGAAAACGAGGAAAACAGTCATGAGATACTATCCCTGAGGAAAGAACTACATTCAACAGGAAAAACAAAAGTCATCGCATGTTTGATTTCTTCCATTAGTAAGACGGGTTGAGATAAATACGTCTGTAGCAAGGCATGAAACTCTTTTTGTCTACGGGCTGAACTGAATACATACCAAAACCCATTTAACAAGCCAAACATAGTTCAAGAAAATAATTACAGGGCCACCAAATGATATGGTTACCTGCCAAGAAGAATCCTCGTCAGCCATAGGTGACATTTACAAGGACTTTACTAGCAGCTGGTGTTAGTTAAGTCTCCACCTTTTCCCTTTCCATAGTTTGAATTAGTCTACAAACGTATGCCTATGTACATACACACTAATGTAATACTGTAGGCTCATACGAGGTCAATGAGTAAACAGAGACATTTAGTGTTGTTAGTACACCAGTAAGAAAACATCTCATATACAAAAGGTTTCCTACCAGACAGCACAGAGGCAGTTCTGTCTCACTCAACAGGTCTTTTAGACCTCTACTGCATAAACGAGGAAACAGTTAAGTTATGTAAATATATGCAAAAACAGAAACAGAGCGAGGATGATTCATAGGATTGTCTGAAACCACATACTTCCCCCTGATTATGCATATCAACAGTGCCTCTGGTCCTCAAACAAATCCTCCAACATCTGACGTTTTATGGTCAGCACAGTAGTACGAAACATCTTAAATGTCAGTGTCTTCACACTGCCTTATGTCTGACCCCACACACACAGAAAAACCTCTATGGCTCTCCAACTAACGCACAATCCTTGCCCTATGATATGGAACATCACACTGTGAATAATGAGGAACACCCGTGAAGCCGTTTGCGCTGGATTTCTGGCGCTGGTTTCCCCCCAGAAAAGGACAGCGAATTAAACGAGCGCTTGTGCTCTCATAAAGGGACCACTGTGCTTGGCCACGCTGGACGGCAGATGTGTAGCTAGCCTTTAGCATTAACATTTTGTTCATGGCCTATGGAATGACTTGTGCCATTCGATGCCTCCGCCAAACATTGAGGAACTTAATGCTGCAGCCTGATCTGTTCATACAGAATGGGGCCTGCTGTAAAAGGGCAGAGAGGGCTTTAAGGAGTTGTGGACTTAGCTGTCGAGGAAAAACTAAGTTCTCACAGATGTTCTATGACGTCAAGTGGGGAACGCTACTAACGTTACTACTTGTAACTGAAAGAAAGGTGAAACGCTTTTATTTGGCAGTGAGTGACGTGTGTATAGGTTTTCACAGGGCTGCACAGTACTGGTTAAAACTTATTTTGCCTGAGAAGAGAAAAAACTGAGGTGTTTGAGGTGACCTCATTGTCACTTTGACACAAGAAAGTGGTTTTATTGGACGTATTTCAAATCATTACCATTCTATAAAGTTATTTACTTATTTCCTCTCCAAGTGCTGATTTATTCTCATTCTCATGAGCCACATTTAATCTGTTGAAATATTGTGTACTTACTGTTAAAAAGTGCTGAAAGCAACTTAGTCAGTATAGAGAAAATAAATATTTTAACAGTTAATATAAGTGTTTAGCCTGCAGCTAGTACCTTAGTTGTTTGCATTGTGTGTTTATGAATTAATTCCCAAAACACTCAATGTTTCAGACAATAGAATTTGACTTAATCCCCTTGTTTTAAATGTTAATTTTAAAAGACAGGCCACCAATGTCTTGTTTTACTTAACTGCAAATATTTCAGTTAGCAATTAAACTCCTAAATGTTACCTCAGGTATCCAAAGAAAGAGAACACAGTTAAAAAGATACTGCAGGCTATCTTTCTTTATTGACTCTGACCCCCAAACAAATTGTCTGTTAACGAGAACAACCACCTTTATTTACCTCACAGGCCCTTTTATAATGCTAGCTCTTGAACTTCCGGCTCGAGTTGTGTGCTTTGTAGCCGTGTGTGCCAGGTGTTGTGCCTGATAATCTACTGCCGAGAAGATAAAACTCTGTTACCATAGCCTGCAGCTTCCCATTATGATTCCCACCCAACGGGTTACATGCAGGCAACATCCTCAAGAATCCAGCTCCGTTCCAAAGCAGGAAATAATGACTGGGCTTCAATAGAATCGCAGTGGAATTTGTGCTGGTTTGTTTAGATTGCGTGCTGAGACATGCGAGCACAGTGCCATTGCTATCATTTGTGGGTTTTAAAGATGAGGAGAACACGCATTCAGAGTTGATGAGTTGACTTTGTGTTGTCTGTTATCTCGTGCATGTCTGAAACTCACTGAGCATTACAGAAAATGTATTAAAGTCTCTTAAGACAGCACTTTTGTTGGGGTTTTTTTTTTTTCTTGCTTCAAACCACATTTGTCCATATTCAGAAAACAGCAAGAATCCACAATAAACATTACGCTCCTATGAAGTCAAACTGGGCACAGTGAGAGCAGATAGCACGTAATACAGCACTAAAGTAGGATTAATTGTGTGCATCTATCCAAAGATCCTGACATAAAAGTAAAAATACATCAAATAAAAGCTGGATGTCTGGCAACGGCAGACCATCATTTAGCAATTGTGTTTGGCGTCAATTGATTCACTGGCAAATGTCTGCTCCAAATGTTTATCAGACATATTCTCAACTCATATTCCCGGCCTATAATTACACAGTTTAAGCAGATTCACACTGCCGTGAAAAACCAGAAGGCTTGTTTGTTTAGTTTGTCTTTCAGATTACAAACACAGACTGCTGATTCGGTATTTCCTCTCACGCAGGTGCAGAATGTACATGTCAGTGGTCAGCTGGCCATCGGCTGCGGTCTTTGTGTTGTGCCCAAGTGCAACTTTTAACAGAAGACGTGAAGCAAACTGTTTGATCAATCTGTCTTTGTCGGTGCTGGTTCTTTGAGGTCGGCTTGGTGTGTCAGGGCCCTAATCTTCATACAGACATTCCCTGTGTTCTGTAACCACAGGGCCCGGGGCACACAGACCTATCCCGGAACAGTGATTAGCATATGTATGGGCCCTCTGCTCCTCAACTCCCACACAAAAGGCAGGCGGGCTGTGCAGCCACGAGGGCCAGGTGGTAAGCAGTGGGATTTCTCCTCGCCTCAGCCGTAGCCTGAGGGACAGGTGCAAACAACTTCACCTCCATGCGAGGCTACATTACAGCTCAAAGGAAAGGCTGTCTTGAACTTGTGCAATGCACAACAAAAGAGGCCAGGGACCTTTTGTCTGCTGCACTCTGCTGTTGTTGTCTTATAAAGAGAACTGGGCCCAGGCATAGCTTGTTAACAGGAAGTGGTCTCTGACTATCCTTGGGGGAGTTTGTGCATTTAATCGTTCAAGGACTCTCCAGTGTGTCACACTCTCCCACATCATTACAACACAGCCAAATGTTTTCCATCTCAAACTTCCACAGCGTTGACAGATATAAATCTCTAAACTGGATTTTCATCTTGGTGAACCTTCAATCACATCCTCGCTGATAATGGCTGGAAAACAGTTAAAAAGCACAGGCAAACATCACAATGTGCCAAAAGACAGCAGGTCTTAGGATCACTGTGTATACGTGCCACACACGTTTTTGCACTGACATTTTTTTTTTTCAAGGTCCTGATAATTATCAAATTGATTTTCCATACTTGTCCAGTCATTCCAGGGCTGCACAGGAACCTGTAATTAGGTGTTTACTTTGCATACAGCCACTTGTGAGAAATCTTGCAAGACCCTCTCCCCACTTCCTCAGGACGACACACAAAGAAATGCGAGAGGCGAACGAGGGGTTAAAGGGATGAAGCCCATGTAAATGAGGCTCGGCGGTCTTCATTCAGACACATGAAAGGCTTCTGTTAGCAAAGACGGAGCGGCCCTCGTCGTGATCATACATAGTCAATATTCTTTAATGCCCCGACCCAAACCCCCCCAAAAATTAAGCTCTTGGAGAAAAACTGCATTTAGCCATCAGTCACATGGCAAGATTACTGGGTGATCATGTGTGGGCTGCTGTCCAGGAATACTGCGGCCAGGCTCAATGTGAAATCCATACATAGGTCTTATGAAATGTCACAATGTATTAAAATGTAGTGCTGTGCAAGAATTTGGGGAATATTTACAGCACAGACTATTAAGCCTGTATTGGCAGCAGACTCCACCAGCAGCCACCAGATTACTATAACACAATCTTTGGCCACAGCTTGTAGATTTGTCTCCTTCACCAACCACTATGACAGAAACCAACAATTATTTGAAAGTCAGAACGTACCATAAATTGCTTGGAGAAAAGTAAGGTAAAAAAAAAAGTGGATGTTGAACTTGCGGATTGACCAGACCCTCCGGTCAAAGTCAAGCCATATGGCTTTAAAATAATACTTTTGGTTTTTGTCAAACTTTCACTTCAACTCAAAGCAAACCATACCGGGCAGAACACAACCGTCATTATAAAACAACAACTTCAGTCTGGTGTTTCTTGTGCAATCAGCTTTTTCTCACACACACCCCTTCTGAATATGACTGATTAAGCAATTTGACTCTACTTTTTTCAGATTTCAGATCATGACTGATCTTGTGTAAAGATTAATTTGCATGTGGTCGTTGTGTGAATTAATTAGTTTGAGGTTTTTTGGGTGGATGTGGATGCTGCAGTCATGTGAAACGCACCTCATGTTAACTCCACTAACACTAAAGGAAGGTAGAAGCTAAAGATTGCAGTGTTGAGAAAGCTGGCAATAATAAATAATCTGCAGCTTAAGCCAATTTACTTTTGGAGTCTGGGTTTATTCTGGATGTATTCAGCAACTAAAGCGTTTTAAATTTGGCTACCACTTCTTCTCCATGGCAACGGCAGCCAAGGCTCATGGGTACTGCAGTATTAAGTCCCGTCCACCAAGACGAAACGACAGACAAAACATGATTCCTCAGAAACAAAGTGGAAATAATTGATAAAAAATAGATTTTGAAGGGGGAATGATGAATAGTATAATACGGCCCTATTCAGGCTTTATCTCACACAGTGTGTTTCTTCTGAATGGTATGTACCTGTGTGGCTTTGTCTTTCATACAGGAAGGATAGGGTCCATGGGAGTCCCGGGGCCACTGGCCGGTGAGGTACGGCCCCGTGATGGCGTCCAGGGAAGATGTCCGCCGGATAGCACTGGAACTCCGAACCTGTAACTTGGACCTTTCTGCTGTGGAAAACAAAGACATAAAATGAGACACAGACTCACACACACAGACACACACACACAGACGAAGGACTCAACACCTAGTGAGAAATATTCCCCGACACCCTGAGGCACCTTTGAGACTCAATGTGGCAACTTTCCCGACTGTGCCAGTAAGTGCAACATAAAGCACTAAAATGTCACTGAATGTGCAGCCAGGGACTGGGGGCTATATTTTGAGTGTCGCACAACTCAAATGATTTACATGTTTCACCTGAAATGAAATGCAATTGCATAATCAAAGTTTTACTGTCAAAACAAGTTAGTTTTACTGGCCTGGTTTATACGTATTACTGTGTGTTGTAGTGGGAGCAAAAAGGGGATTGTAAAGAATAGAAATCCTGTATATTTCAGTCACAGAATAACTCATTAATAATAATTAATCACTTCCCCCTGCACGTCTGTTAACTACTACAATTAAAAGTGTTTTATTAAGACGACACCTTGCCTCTCTTCTTGTTTTCAAAGTGTGGACAAGTTTCCACATTCAGAAGTATTGGTGCCGGGCAAACAGCAGCAGCCTTGAGAGCCGAGGCCTGGAGCGAACGTGAACGGTTGAGCAGGAGTATCTGATGTTATGAGAGCAATCTGCTGTGAGCCGGGGCAGTTAAACACACACCACCCACATAAGATCTCATAAACAACCACAACACAATGCATATCAATACTGCCTGCATCCACTCAACATTCCTGCAGTGACACGCAGTAAAAAGAAATGTAAAAAGACACTTAACGCACAAAGACATTCGCTGGAGAATAGCATGAGACTGCAGTGGATTAAACGCATTAGACTCAATTACACTTTGTGTGATTACTGAAAGTAAATGAAAGCTACTTCATTTCCCTATCACAGACAGAATAAAAGGCAGGTTTCCTGCTCATTCACCAGGTTCCTTGTCTGAGTAAGCTAAAGGCGCAGGCATTTCCAACGTGAACACAAACTAACACACGCAGAATAAACTCTACATGAGGCACCCCTCTCCTAGCAGAACTACACAGCCATTCATTGTTGTTCTTTGTCCATAGAATACACAGGCCTACCCACCCAAAGGTATTGCCTAAGTAAGCTTACTGGGCTACAGTAAAATTCCCTGAAGCATTGTAGACAAAGGAAGCAGGCTAAATTTCCATCAATATTGATACAGGCCAAGCCAGCGCTCTCAGAACTGGGATTGTGGTTATTTTCCATCGTCTCCCCACTTGCCAGACTAGAATAATCTCCTGATGAGAAAAAAGAAACAGTGTGAAAGAAGCCAAGACATCAAAGCAGTCCATCTGCTGATTTCAGGGATGACTGAGTGGTGGATGTGACATTAAAGGAATATTTTCAGGTTGAATTTTAAGAACTTTTCTTCAGCAAGCTGCAAAAAAAAAGAAAAGTCTCTGCATTTCCAGGGTTAAATGGGTGGTTTATTAACTGTAGAGCAGAGGCGAATGTGAACACAAACATGTGGTCCAAATCAGTAAAGCATAGCAGAAGGGTTTCCTGTAGGTTTTCACAAGGCTACATGACACTGGCTACAAAGGAAATGATAATAATTCAGCTTCATCTGGTGATACTTTTTAGTATTCCTGAACGGCTCACGTAAATGAAACCTTGTAGGGTTCATGCATCACTTTGACCGACTACAGATGGACATATTCCAGCTTTATTGTCACTGCTCAGACTATCCACACAGTGAATAATTAAACATGGAATCGCCTACTCTCTGTGTTGGTCATTGTTAAGAGGCGCAAGGAGAAAATATAAACAATGGATAAACTGATCCTACTTAATCACCCTGCAATGATTAACTACTATAACTTAAATGAGTGTAGTATATAAACTACTGATACAATGGGTATGATTATATATTATCCACATACTCATTAATCTGTATACTTTTATTATACAACCACTAAGGCCACCCTGAAGGTCATATTCCAGTAACGTTCCACATGAGTTGCTCAAACTAAAAGGGCGGTAATTGCAAGCAGCGCCGACTGCGTATCACACAACATCAAACGATGGACAGCGTTGATCTCGGCCGTGACAGTGCCAACAGTGGCCAGCGCTCAGGTTAACACAGGCAGTTATAAAACACCGCGGCTCCACCAGAGTCCACCGATTTGGACAACACGCTCATTTTCACATTCGGTCCTACTCTGCAGTTTGAACGGGTGACAATGAAGCAGGGCGGTTTCAGCACAGCTGGCACTTTGACAGAGAGCGGGACGGTCATTGTTGGGACAGCGTGGTAAGAGAATGATGTCATGCTGGTGAACCTAAAAAGGTCACGATGTTGGGATATGATACCCTTAACCTTCAACATCAGGCTGTGAGCTGAACTTACCGTCTGTGATGGTTCTGTAAAAAGGCTCTTCCTCGCCAAGTGGCAAGAGTTATGGTGAGCGAGTGGGGTTGGAGTACCACAATGAATGTGCAAAGCTGCTGCTTCAGTCACTTCGAGCTGGCTGCAGTGATGAGCGGTGACCGAATCGTGCTCACGCTGCTGCACTTGTTGAAATAAATGTCAGCTTGGAAGGAAAACTGCTTTTAATTGGGACGAACTTCTCTTTGGTTTTCTACACTGAACATCTGTAAATATTAAAACCAAACACTTGTTATTCTGAGGAATGGTACGACATTATTTACATTGTAAAATGGAGAGAATCACCTTTTCTGTGAGACTAGAGAAAACTAGATTTGAGGAAATTTGGGAAAAGTGGAAAATGTATATTGCTCCTAAACGCCTTTCTTTTGTTGCTGCTTGTAATTTCTTATTTTATTCTCTTCTTAGTATGTTATTTTTTTCTTTTTGCCGTTTTGAAAACACCCCTGTTCATATTTATATATTTAAAAGATGAATCACTGTATATCTCTCTACCAAACTACGCGGAATATGTTCAGTGCCGATACGTGATTCTAAATAAAAGACAGAAAATAAAAACAAAAAAAGAAACGTGTGTCTCCACACGGATACGACCAGGTAGGACAGTGAGGTCACCTCGATGAAGGAGGGGTCAAGTCTCCATCATCACCAGCTGACGTGGGTTAGAGGTCGTCTCTCTCAGAGGGCCGAGGTATGCGCGGCATGCGGTGGGAAATCAACACCGAGTGAAATCAGTCGTGGCCTGGCGAGTCTGCCTGCTCGCTCGTGGTGGTGGAGGAGACTTTCGCTTCCTGCCTCGCATGGTACACCAGTCGGAGGTCGGAGGTCACCTCGTTCAAAAAGGACGGAGGAATGCGAAGCGCGTCACAAACTTCAAACTCCACAGTAACTGGAGTGCTGCACTGGGGGGGGACGCGAGGCACGGTAGCGCTGATCCAGCTGTGCAGCGTGTTGAGATACGCGACTTAATCTGATGAAGCGCAGAAGACTGTAGGCTGTTTTTCCTTCTTCCCAGCAGCCGTTGGGACATTAAACAGTAGGGTAAACACAGGTGGTACCAATGCTACTAATTAAAAGTCCTCTTCCACTCAGGTCAAACACAGTCAGGCTGCGACTGTGCATGCTGGCCTCACTGGAAACGGCTCTGCTACACCAAATTGGACTTTAATTAGTGTCATTGGTAACACCTGTGTTTACCCTACTGTTTCATGTCTAAATGGCTGCTGGGAAAAAGGTCTTCTGTGGTGTGAATAACCAGGTGCTTATCATGGGGGCTGAGGTAGAGGCAGAAATACCCAGTGAGGTCAACTCAACTAGAATAAGTCTCTTTTTGTCTCCAGATACTAGAAAAGCAAGCTGTATTCAGAACATGTCCAGAGAGAGAGAGTGTGTGTGTGCTTGTGTTTTGTACATAAAACTCGGGGCTTACAGGGAGAAAACTAGTCCTACAGTATGAAAAGATACTGCTACCAGCCTCCAGTGTCGATATTTGGCGAGAGAGGCTGTCACATAAATGAGATTTAGTGAAAAAAAGGCTACCTGGACTCTCCTTCCTCCTTCGGTTCGTCTCCGATCACTTCCAGAAAGGAGCAGCTGAGCGTGACATGAAACGACACAGCGCTCTGCCTCTGTTGGCCATGTGTAAGGCGACAGCATGTGTTCTGAATATGCACTTAAAAAAAGCTGCTGCGTGTATGTATGCATGTGTGGAGCGAGGTCAAAACAGGCACCTGACCATTCGCTCAGCTCTGCTTCTGACGTGGCCCCTTTTACTACTGAAACTTTCTGCCAATTCCCTCCTCTTCCCCTCTCTTCTCGCTGTCAAAGGTCCATAGGAAATAAGAGCCAATCGTGCGCTCTATTCTCTTTATGAGAGCCTAATGGTGTAAAAGGATAATGGGCTAAATAGTTAATGCATCAACCTGGTTTCCAGACTCATCCAGATATTATATTTTTTAATACAACAGTTAAAAAAGTATAATTTGTGGCACAAAAAAAAAAAAGTTAGGCATCAGTGGAGAAACAACACGTGGTGACACAGGTTTTTAAAACAAAAAACAAGTTTACCTCTGGAAACTGGAGAGTCTGGGGGACAGGAGGAATCCTTATTTTCAGGGGACAGTCTTTGCTTTGCGTTTGCATTTCCTGAACTGAGAGTCGGGCTGGAGGGGGGGCTGGAGCCTCTGCTGCTGGTGGCCGCTCCGTAGAGGGTCTGTGCCCGGGTCGGGCTGCTCGGACCCGGGCGCAGGAGCTGGTAGGGCACGGTGGCCCGGAGGGGGTGCAGACGGCAGCTGTTGTTGAACGAACCGGGGGAGCCCGCGTTGCTGCGTCTCACCCGCGGCTGCTGCAGCGAGTTGCTCGGCGCTGACATCCTCCCGAAAAACACACACTGGATGTTAATTCCTACGACGTACTGCCACAAATATAAGAAAGCTGCTGCTTCTCTAGAGGAGGAGGAAGAGGAGGAGGAGGAGGAGGAGGGCAAGATAAACATTAGCTTGTTAGAAAAAAAAAAAAAAAAAACGATAGCTTCCTTTTTTTTTTTTTTTTT